TCTGTGCCAGTAGTCTCAGTAATGGCTTCAACAGAGCACCAACAACAGCGCTGAACTGAAGGGAAAATCGTCCCTCCTCAGTGCAGTGTTGGAATATATGTTCGCCTTCCTTGAGCATATATATCCCATAACGGCCCTGTATACCACAAGAAAACTGACATTCTTCCAATGACAGAAATATTGTCGTTTTACCCCAAACAGACATGGTAGATTCTTAAGTCTGACCCAAACTATACACTATCAATATTATGGACAAATTCAACACCTGACGTGCGCATCTACTAAACTCATCACATGCGAGTAGGGTATCGCACCCGTTCTATACCGTCCCCCATCAACCATATGAAATTCGATTGCTACAAAGATGGTTAATAGAGTCACCCGGGTATATTAATGAACACTAACAACTCGACAATACACATAATGTGTGAGGAAGAAAAGAGCTCAGCCAATGAACAATTGAGTTTACGCTGTCCTTTTGCAGAATCGTCATGTACTATAAAATTCGTAGTAGAAATTATGCATATCGCTCTGCAAAGTCACACACCTTGAAACTCAGCACACGCCGAACTATATTTGGCATTTTGCGTTGTGTAATCAAATATCTCGCGGATTTCTCAACCAGCTGTGTGTGTGATCAGTTCGGGTTGGACACAGATTCACACAGTGTCATTGATTTTACATTGCATGGGCGAGACAATTACTGTCATGTTGTATAAAAATTGACATCTATCTAGATCAAACACCATAACATCACGTGATGCTGACAGAAAGGCCTCTCCTCTCTTTCCATTCATACGAGCGATAACCTCGTAGAAATCCATACGAACCAGCTCTATATCGAGACTACTCCAATATGCAACGGAATCGAGGTTACTATCATGCTGTGTAACAGCTGATCAATCACGAACACGTATGTTCTCACCTTGGACAATTGCGCACCGACTCGCAAAGTCACACGCCATTAAACTTAGCGCCCGCCCAGATAAGCACACGTGAACTTTGAATTTTTTTGTGCTGCAAGGTTTCAAAGTTTGGTGAAGTGCACCCAACCTGGTAACCGTGTCTGGTGCTACATTGGGTATTCCCAACATATTATGGGTTATGGTGTTAAGGGTATTGGGTGAATTGATCCATGTTTACCAATGTTGTGGTACGAGTATCTTTGATGTGGTCGGGGCCGTGACTATCGACTAATGTAGAATTGTCTGAGTGACACGTTCTAGGCGATTTGGGACGCACCTGGGAGAAGCTCTAGATGTTCCCTTCACTTGCAAAGTAACATTGATGAGACAATCGTAATCGAGTCGTTTCTAGGAGCTCATTGCGCGGGAGGCCGAACAACACTACATAAAAACATTTCTGTCGAGCCAAGATGAGGTTGTCAGCTGTTACGCAGCATAATAGTGGCCTCGATATTGTTAAGTATTATAGTAACATCAGTACCTAGGGATAGATGACTCGTATGAGGTTGCCAGCTGTTATGCAACATGATAGTGGCCTCGATATTGTTAAGTATTATAGTAACATCAGTACCTAGGTATAGATGACTCGTATGAGGTTGTCAGCTGTTACGCAGCATGATAGCACGGACAAGTGAGGCGAGGCAGTCCTGACAGCCTTCACTTCTGATATGTCCCATAAAGTTGCACGCATAGTCCATAAGTCCAGAAAGTCATTACGTGCAGTTCGATTGAAATCAGTTCTCACTGGATCGTCTGCAAAGGAGGTCGAACATGACCAGCACCTGAGGGAGGTACCGGGTTAGATCCCTGCATGTTGCATTTTTCCCGCCCCGACTTGCTGTTGCAACGAATTTTCCCAAGGACTGAACTCAGCATAAAAAAAAACTTCATCATCATGATCCCGTTAATTCAAGACTGAATTCGTGAGAACCTATAGAAGTACTTCTACAGTGCGCACCAATTCAATATGCCAGTGTAGAAAAATGGGCGTTAGCCACCGAGATTAATGAGAATCGATATCACATAAACGCCCAACGATCACGCACTTCCGGACTGTCTATGCATGTACTACCAAATACACAGAGAATAAAGTGATGATCAGTAGTCGTGAAATATATTGTGAAATACATCATTTATAATAATAAACCGATAACATTCCTCCAATCTCACCAAGCTCCATTTTAGATAGCGTCACACACACGGCGGCTTCCCAGTAGTGGCAGAAGAAGATATAATGGGTGGGTCTAGACATGAATACTTAGTATCATCAGGTCGTTGATTGTTATGTTATAAATAGAATGGACATAATATAATGGAGCCGGACAGAGCTCCAACACTGTATAGGAAACTCCTGAGCTCAGGTGAGGAAAGCGAACATATTATATTCCGTAGACCTCTTCCGGTCGCGGTCCCATGGAAATCGACAACGCAGTTGCGAGTCTCTAAACCGTTCTTGCTCATTTCACATCAATTATCGACACCCCCGATGAACGACAACTATACCAACTATAGAATGTAAGTGCGAAATTGAAATGCACGAAATGCGAGCACATTTTAAGCTTCATACATTTCAATTTCGGACACCCTGAGATTCGATCCCTGGACCTTCCATATATCAACCAACCTCTGCAACCGATTAGACTATTCCAACTATAGAATATAAGTGCGAGACTGAAATGCACGAAATGCGAGCACTTTTTAAGCGTCATACATTTCAATTTCGGACAC